CTTGAATTGAAGTTCGGCCTTGCGTTGCTTATTCGAGATTGGTTTTCGACGCGGCATCGTGTTTATTTGCAGTTTGGGGAAGGACCAGATGGCGGTCAGCTCTGTGGGAGTTTAGAATGGATCGGGGTTTCTGAATCTCCACTTGCCATGCTCGTGGAGCCCCAAGGTGAGCCATTCGACGACAACGCCGATCTAGTTTACGAAATGAACTCCAACTATTCACCATAGTAGATAGTTTATTCTCTAACTATTGCCTTCCAGTCGACCTTGCTGTTACCATGAGCTGTGGTGGGGTGTTATGTGACTATTCATTGGAGGGATTTGCGTCAGCCACATTGGAAGACAACTCGTACGAGCTGGTGCAACATAGGTAAAGCTTGAAATGTACTTTTAGCTGCATCAATTCTGAAATAATCTTCTATAGGTGGGCCTTAGACGAGTGTATCTCGACCAAATGTCGTATTCAAGTGAGTAGGCATAAAAGGACACCTTATTCCCCGTACTCTCCTCGCATTTTCACTTTTACAACTCGACATTGCTCTCAACGCAAACACAACCAACCATGACTGTTCACGTCAACGCTTCGAGAGAGTTGGTTTTCCCTTGGCGTCCCCAAGGCAGGTAAGAGACAGCTCAGCCTATACGTGTCGGTGGCGCGCTGGTTTCTGATCAATGTTCGCACCAAATCTCCTTGTGTAGGACATTAAAGGGATGTAAGAATTCTGTTCTGATGACTATAGACCCAAATGGACGCTCATTAAATATCCAACGGGTCAGTTTGCTAATAGCTTCCGTACTTTGCCACAAGGACACTTGAAGGCTAAATGTCCCTTTAGGCTTTCTCCGAGCAGAGAAAGTTGCATCACATCTTTAATGCTCGTCTGCGTAAAAGTGTACCGCTGCCATTTGAAGGACCTTGTCCTGGGGCGCCGCGACAAGCAACTGTATCCTTACCCGTCAATGAGGAAGTTGTTTGAGCTGTTATGGTCAATGGAAGGAGTATAAAATACGGACTGGTCTCTTCAAAAGTCTAATCTGGGTTCCTGTGTTTGCCGTGCGATTCTCTGGCCAATGGACAGCTAACGTATAGAGAAACTCCTATTGTTTAGGACTGCTGCCGTCTTTCTATGTATACACTACGTTATTCTCGTCTTTTTCGTCTCTCTTTGTGGCCAGCGGTCGAAGAGTATCGAACCTTACCTGCATGTATATCACGTACCGTAGTTTGGAATCTCACCCCTCTTCAGATTATCAGAGAGACGTTCGTAAAACACCAATACCCTTATAATTCTCATAATGGGGGGTTCAAAAGGACTAGGTTGTACGAGATAGGAACAGCGGATATAATTCGCGTGCACGCGCGTGCGGAGAGCCTACCCCGGCTATTTATCCATAAGGCCAGCGGTCTCTCCAGACTCTTTTCATTGGCATTGAAGTACTGCTTACGAGCAAATTCAGTAATCTATGGCCACCAGGATCGAGCCGCTGAGAGTTTCAGATTGCTGTACTCTAGGCCGCCTCCACCGCTTCACTGTACGCATCTGAACGGTTAGTGGCCATCAAGAGAACCTCGGGATCCGGGTTCCTTCCTCCATAGTGAACGGTATAAACACGGATAACACAGAGCCCAACTCATCGGTCAACAATGCCCTTGCGAATTGAATACACTCCTCACTCTCTTCAACGAACCTTGTCAAATACCATTCTCCTCTATAGGATGAGCTTGGCACGCATAGGAAGCGAGATGATTCGTTAGCTTCCCGCCTATTAATGCCGTATACGAGGAAGTTGCGGCGTGCTTGACCTTTGCCTTTCACAGTGAAACATTATCTCCACCAGAACTTGTAGAGGAGAATAATGGATTACTTCCGCGCTATTTTGCTTTTTATGGTGGTCAGTTGGGCTTCAGGAAGTAGATGGGACGAAGGAATCGATGGAATTCTCCAAGGCGACGTCTTAGGATCTACAGAAACTCCATACCCAGGGCCAGACCTCTATCCAGACCTTTTGATCGGTGCAATACCTGTGGTATCCGTTCCCGGGTCATCTAAAGGGCGACGGATTGGGAGGGCGGGAAGGCTAGAATATCGTCAAGTGAATACCGTGACCCCTTTCACCCGTACTCCCCTCCTTGCTCACAACATGAGAAATAGCCCACCTGTAGTAACCCCACCTACGTAATGGCTTGTCCTCCCATGGGTGAGTGATTCATTCGACGAGCAACATCATCCATCCATACTGAGCCAACATACAGAAAGTCACCCTTGTTGTCCAGGAGCCACTCCTATTTGTTCGTGAAGAACAAGAATACCGCATTGAATGACTGACGTTGGAAATATAGGCTGCCATGACCCCAGCGATATTTGTGAGCTCTTCCCTTTCGCTGAATGCTTCATGCTCAGATAAGTATACATAGGCTGTCCTGATGGTACATTTTGCACAAGCCTTGATACATGCTGTATCAACGGTCAAAAGCCTTGCGGTGAAGGTGAGCGCAGTGATAACTTATCAGAAAGCTGGCTCATATGTCTTAGGGTGCTGTCCAGCAGATACAACGTAAGAATTTCAGAGATATACACATTCAATTTCTTATGCAATTCCATATTGCGTTGGTATTTTAGCTGCTGTAGTAAGTATATGGTTGTATGACAGGAGCTCCTGGTTGAGATTTGATATAGCTAATAATGGTAGTACTGTTGGTTCGTGTTGCCTCAGTGGATATACTTGCACAAGAGGAACCTGCATTCCTAGTCCGTCTCTAATTGCTCAATCGACTGCTTCAGTAGCGTCTGTTGCCTCGGTTCAATCAACGGCTTCTGTCAATTCTGTGGCATCCCTCCAGTCTATCTCGCAACAATCATTAGGCGCCATTGCATCACTTTCTTTACTTCAATCTGA